AGGAGAGAGAGAGAGAGAGGGGGAGAGGAGAAGAGAGAGGAGAGAGAGGAGAGAGAGAGAGAGAGAGAGAGAAAGAGGCCAATCAAAGGGACAGACAGAAACAGAGCATTGGAAAAAGACCCGGGCACATAATACAACAGTGAAAATATGGCGACCGAGCCAAAGCAACGGCACTAATGAGGAACGTACGGCAGGAGCAGAAAAAAAAGGAAAAAAATAAATATAAATATGCCAGAAACAAAATGAACAAAAAACAAACCATGAACACTCCCGTAAGAAACAAAGAATAAAAAACAAAACCATCAATTCCCCTTCCCTGAGACTTACCATGATCATCCTTCGCAGCCATGGTTGAAGGTCGACCTCGTCCTCGGGTATTCTCTCTTATTTCTTCCTTCCTTCCACTCTCTTCCGTCAGTCGGGTACTACCACCAAATGCCGAGTCTCTCTAGTCCCAACCACAGCCTGTGTTCCTGTTCGAGCAACCAAATGAGATCGCTGAACACAAACCTCTTTTTCATTCACTATTTTGTCTTCGTTCACAAAACCCGATGCATTCCTTTTTTTTTTTACTCACGAGCTTTACTCACTGATCTAGCAAATTACTCACTGTATCCGCGCGTTTTTTCTTTCTTTCTTTCTCTATCTCTTTTTTTCTTTCTATCTTTCCTCCTTCCCCCTCCCTTCCCCTCCTCATTCTTCACCTCCCCCTCCTCCTCCTTCCTCACCGCAATTTCCTCAACCCAAGTCGGATAATTCACCACTTATGACACAATCCACGCGTGTTTTCTTTACTCTATAACCACCCTCGACCTTACATTCTGTCATCCCTTGGCCCCCGCGGTCATAACCTCCTCATGACAGAGTGCGTGTCATGCTTCGTATCGTGGGTGCATATGTAACAACAAAAGTCTATTTTCTTGCTTAGACTTTGTATAATAATCCGTCAGCACTAAACTGTATCACGAAATATGAATAGTTTGCTTCCTCATCCATCATGCGGAGACAAAACGAATGGTAAATTCACGAAGCAAGAGAGAATAAGGGAGAGAAACATCGATAATAATAATAACTAGAAGCTTCCAGGCAGCGCATACCATCGCCCAGATAACAGGGTCACTGATGCAATAAAAATATTCCCACTTCAAGAATTACATTAAAATCACCTCTTTCTTCTTTCTCAAGTAAACTGGTGACGTCCGTGTTTTCCTATCTCAGAATGCTAAAATAAATAAATAAATAAATAAAAATTCCTGGATCCGGATCATCACCCAAGGCACACTTCTGGTAGTATCATAAAAAAATATTCATATTTTTTTGTTATCCTGTTAACCAACGAACAAACAAACCATAACCTCCTTGGCGGAATAATAATAATATAATAATAATAATAATAATAATAATAATAATAATAATAATAATAATAATAATAATAATAATAATAATAATAATAATAATAATAATAATTACAATACTAATAATAAAATAACAACAGCAAAATCCCACTTAAGACACGGACTTGTCACCTCGCCACTATATGACTTTATGGCGACGGCGTCACCGAAGAAAACACGCCACACCAAATCCCGCACAGCAATAATCCCCGATAAGTTATCTGATAAGCGCATTTCACCAACTTTGGTCCTTCCCGGATGCGTCATAAAACCAAAAATAATAATTGACTTCGGAATTGATGTCACGGAAGCCCACGGAAGCCAGCCATCGGTAGCCATCAAAACTCGCGCCTTTTTTCACCCCCCCCCCCACCTTCCCCTTCCCCCTCCTTCCGCGAGTTCCGGGGTTTGGTGACAAAGAGGCGGAGGAAACGGAAGAACGGAGAGATAAAAAAGTGAAGATCGAGTTCCGATACCGCTTGTGTCGGAGTTTTTTGGAAATATATCGATTGGCAAGATGACGGTGTTGTAATAATAATATGATAAAAAACAATGGTCAATAATAATAATAATAATAAATAATATTAATATATGATGATAATGATGATAATATATAATATAATAATAATTATATAATATAATAATAATATTAAATAATATATAATGATATTAATAATAATAATAATAATAATAATAATAATAATAATAATAATAATATAATAATAATAATAATAATAATAATAATAATAATAATAATAATAATAATAACAATAACTATGATTATAACTACTACTAATCTTATTATCAATATATATCATTATTATCATTAAATAACCATCATCATCACCATCACCATATTCACTATCATTACCACTACAATTTCTACCGCCCCCATGACAAAACAAGCATCAGCATCAAACACCACCAAAATCCAGGCCTCACTTGATCCTCAAAAGCGAGGAATTCACCTCCTCTTCCTCGCTCAATAGATTCCTTCACGTGAGACCCCCCACAGCCCACCACCACCCCTCACCCCTTCCTACCCCCCCCCCCTTAGTCCACAATGATGATTATGGAAATTTTAATAATGATAGCAATGATGACAATTCCAAAGACAACACTGATGATAATGATGGTAATTGATTGTGATGGTAATGCTAATGACAATAATAAAAGGGAGAGAGCTATATGCGATATTCCTCGCCTCAATAGATTCCTTCACGAGACCCCCCACCCCTCACCACCCATCACCCCCTTCCTACCCCCCCCCCTTAGCCACCCCGAGTAAGAAGTGTGTGAAATGTTTCTTTCGGTTCTGTATCTCACATAAACACGTGTATCCTCTTCAACAAAGTTCTCGTTGATCCGTGTTTCATTCGCATTTTCTTTCTTTCTTCTTTTTTCTCTTTCTCTTTCTCTCTCTCTCTTCTCTCTTTCTCTCTCTCTCTCTCTCTCTCTCTCTCTCTCTCTCTCTCTCTCTCTCTCTCTCTCTCTCTCTCTCTCTCTCTCTCTCTCTCTCTCTCTCTCTCTCTCTCCTGAATGAATTCCCTTATTCCTTTGCTTCTCTCTTACCCGTCCTCGTCTTTCTTATTCCATTTTCCTGCATTCCTTCCTTGCTTCGCACTATTTCATTTCTTTCCTCTTCCCTTCTTCTTCGTCTCCTTCATTTGGTTACTCCCTTCACCTTTTGGCTTTGCAATCTTTGTTCTTCTTTATTGCCTTTACAATTGTTTCTTCCCTCCTTTTCTTTTCTTTCTTTCTTTCTTCCTTCCTTACCCACCCCTCCCACCCCCCCTATATCACTTATTGCTTTTTATTATTTTATATATTATTATTTATTTTTATTATTATATTATTATTTATTATTAATTATTATTATTCCTTCCTTCTTCTTTTATCATTATCATTATCTTCATTTTCAATTATATCATAAATTTATTATTTATTATTATTTCATTATTTATTATTATTATTATTTTACTATTATTATTATCTATTATTTTATTATTATTATAATTATTATTATTATATTTAATTATTATCCTATTTATTATTATTATTATTATTATTATTATATTATTATTATTATTATTATTATTATTATTATTATTATTATTATTATACTATCATTATCTTATTACCATTATTACTATTTACCATTATTACTATTACCTTATTATTATCATTAATTATATCATAATCATTGTTATCATTATTAATATCATTATCGTTTTTATTATCATTATTATTATTATCATTATCATTATCATTATTATCATTCTCATTAGTATCAGTATCATTATTATCATTAACATCATCATTATCATTCCTCCTCCTTCTTCTTCATCACCTCACCTCCTTTTTTCCTCTTCTCTTATATTTTTCTTTTTCTCCATCATCACCAGTATCTTGTCCCTCTTCTTCGGCGAGGACCCAACACTGCATGATACGGATTAACGAAATAAGCCGATATTTCGTATTACTCCTTCTACGGTCTTCTTTCCTGTATTTCCTGCTTCGCTTCTCCGTTTCATCGATTAATTTGATATATACCTTTGTTTTTTTATACCTATTTCTACTCATCTTTTTATTCCTATTTGCTTCACCATTTTTGTTGTTACCATCATCATGCCATCGTAATTCCTCCCTTCTCCTGCTCTCCTCTCCTTCCTTCCTTCTCCACAAACGCGAACAAACAACGGCATCTCACAGATCAATTAAGCATGTCGCCTTATCAGCCCCCGATAACCGGCCGCGATTTCCCCTTTATTGGCCTGGGGCGTTCGCTCTTATCGGGGGGAATTTACGTCTCGCCGGAAATTACTTCGTCACCTTACGGAATTCTCGGGGATAAAAAGCGGCTGAGCACACACGCGCACGCACCGAAGCATGGATGCAGACAAGCATATTCGCGCACATACACACACACACATGTAAGAAAGCGAATGTACACGCACGGACGCACCCGCACACACACATACACAAGCGTTTAAGTGTGTGTCACCCCTCAGGCTTCATCCCTTCCCTTCGTCCCCTCCTTTCCCTCCCAACAACCCCTCATGTCAAATCCCCCCCCCCCCCCCACCACAACCATCCACCCACCCACCAGCTGTCCGAGCAAGGAGGGCGTCTGCCTCGCTCCTCTGCTTGCGTCCTCGCGTCCAGCTGTAACTAAGGACGAACCGAGCAAGAACCCACAAGAAACTGAACACCCGAACGCACACTGCCACACTATCACCCCCACCCCCCACCTCACCTCCAATCCTAGCACGCCGCGAGCACCACGAACAAGCACGTCGCATCCTTCCCTTGGCTTGCGTGTGACTCCGTAATAGGTACGGGACACCACACCGCCGAGACCCGGACTGCCTTCTCTCTCCATCTTTTTTTTTAAATCCTAATGGCGTCCCTTCGCTCACGGTCCAGGAATAAAGCCATCGCCACTCTCGGACACGCCAGCTTGCATGGACACTGCCTCTGCAAGCACCAATCACAATCACTCGCGGGGATCAACACCGACAATCACCTTGCCTCGTCTCCTGTGAGTTTACGCGTCGGTGTTGCAGGTTTTTTGTCAGTTCCAGGACGGACGCCGCGAGGAGAGGTTGTGGACGCGCGCTAGTCTGTCGATAAGGGAGTTGCGTTGTCGTGCCGGGGACAGGAGACGCGTTCCTAACATGACAGCGCGGATTTATGGTCTTTCTTTACTTTTTTTGTCTCTATCTACCTCATTCACTCGTTCTCTCACATGCGCACTTCACTTCACTTTTTCTCTCATAGTCACTCGCAAATGCACTCACTCACTCTCCCCCTCCCTCTCTCTTCTCTCTCTCTCTCTCTCTCTCTCTCTCTCTCTCTCTCTCTCTCTCTCTCTCTCTCTCTCTCTCTCTCTTTCTCTTTCTCTTTCTCTTTCTCTTTCTTTCTCTTTCTTTCTTTCTTTCTTTCTTTCTCTTCTTCTTCTCTCTTCTCTCTCTCCTCTCTCTCTCTCTCTCTCTCTCTTTCTCTCTTCTCTCTTTCTCTCTTCTCTCTCTCTCTTTCTTCTTTCTCTCTTTCTCTCTTTCTCTCTCTTTCTTTCTTTCTCTTTCTTTCTCTTTCTCTTCTCTCCTCTCTCTCTCTCTCTCTCTCTCTCTCTCTCTCTCTCTCTCTCTCTCTCTCTCTCTCTCTCTCTTCACACACACACACACACACACACACACACACACACACACAACACACACACACACACACAACACACACACACACACACACACACACAACACACACCCGAGAAACGCTGACAATGCCGCCGCCAATCTGTCCTTGGCTCCTCCACTGCATTCTCCGAGCTCTTCCTTCTCCCGCTCCATCGCACCTGTACTTTCTCCCAATCCCCAATCTCAGCCAATCTTTTTACGTACTGTCGCTTTACTTGCTGGCGCATCGTCTTATTTTTGTTTGGCCTTCTTTCTCATTTTCTTTCTTTCTTTTCTCTTTCTTTCTTTCTCTTTCTCTCTCTCTCCTCCTTTTCTCCTGCTTCCTCGGTTAGCATATTCTCCTTTCCTCCCAATATGTACTCACCGCCTTGGGAGGAGGGAGGGAGGGAGGAGGGAGGGAGGATGGAGAGAGGGGGAGAGAGGGAGAGAGGAGAGAGAGAGAGGAGAGAGAGAGAGAGAGAGAGAGAGAGAGAGAGAGAGAGAGAGAGAGAGAGAGAGAGAGAGAGAGAGAGAGGGGGGGGGAGGGCAGAGAGGAAGGCAGGAAGAAATAAGAAAGAGAGAGGGAATATATATATATATATATATATATATATATATATATATATATATATAACACACACACACACACACACACACACACACACACACACACACACACACACACACACACACACACACACATATATATATATATATATATATATATATATATATTATATATATATATATATATATATATATATAAAGAAAAAAAAAACAAACAAAACATAAAAGAAAAGACGGCGAAGAACAAAAACAAAACGAAACAAGAGCAAGAACAAGAAGACAGACGAAAAGAATACACACGATAGCAATAATAAACAGGGGAAACAAGAAGAAAAAAACACGTCCCAACACGTCTGGGAACCTGACCAATCCCAAGCTCCCGCCCCTCGCCTCCCGTCGCTCGGCATTTTTCACCTTTAACTCTTTAGCGTCTATTGGTCGAGGAGCCAAAGCCGAAGGGAATTCCCCGCTCTGGCAACAGACAACCTGTTCCGTGGCTCGCTGCTCCTTCCGTCTCGTGGCCCCTTCCTCTTCCTCTCTTTCTTTCTCCGTTTCTCTCTCTGTCTTCTCTCTGGCTTTCGGTCTCTTTCTTTCTCTTTTTTATATCTCTCTCTTACTCTTACCTATACCAATTCCCTGTCACTCTTCCTTCTCTCTTTCCCCCTCTCTCTTATCCCTTCCCTCTCCCTTTCTCCATCTCCCTTTCCCCTCTCCATCTCCATTCCCTCTCCCTTCTCCCTTCCCTCTCCCATTCCCTTTCCCTTCTCCCTTCTCCCCCCCCTTCCCTCTCCTTCCCCCTCTCCATCTCCCCCTTCCCCCTTCCCTTCCCTCTCCCTCTCCCTCTCCCTCGGAACAATTGCATTACCTCTTCATGCGAGACTGGCGCTTCGCTGACCCTTTTCTCGTAATGCAAAAGGCGGAGGAGGGGAAGCGTGTAAACATCATTTTATGGAAGAATACGCTTTGGATGTCCTTGCGACCCTATGTCCCTTTTTTCTTGCTTGATTTTCAATGCTATCGCTGCCTCTTCTCTATTCATCTAGCTTTTCCGCTTCAGATTATTCTCTATCACTATCTCTATTTCTTATATATATATATATATATATATATATATATATATATATATATATATATATATATATATATATTTATATATATAATATATATATATATATATATATATATATATATATATATATATATATATATATATATATATATATATATATATATATATATATATATATATATACATTTGTATATTTATACACACACATATACACGAGTATCTCCCATTTCATCCCCTTAACCTTCTCACTCTTCTTTTTTTCATCTCTCCCATTCTCATTTTGCGTTTCTTCCCCCATTCTGGTCCTGTCCCTATAATTTATTGCTTCGACTTTTTTCTTACTCTCTCTCTCTCCAAATCCTTCTCTTTCTTTTCCTTTGCAACACTCCCTCCTCTCCCCCTCCCCCTACCTTTCTCTAACATTCTCACTCGCTGCCTCTCCCTCTCCTTTGTCTCATTCGTTTCCATTAATTCTTCCTTCCCCCTTTTCTATCCCGATTTGTCAACCATTCTCTGTCCTTATTGCTCTTTACTTTCTCGGTCTCGGCCTCAGTCTCTGTGTGTGTGTGTGTGTGTGTGTGTGTGTGTGTGTGTGTGTGTGTGTGTGTGTGTGTGTGTGTGTGTGTGTGTGTGTGTGTGTGTGTGTGTGTGTGTGTGTGTGTGTGTGTCTGTCTGTCTGTCTGTCTGTCTGTGTCTGTCTGTCGCATGTCTGTCTCATGTCTGTCTCATGTCTGTCTCAGTCTGTCTCTCTGTCTCAGTCTGTCTCGTCTGTCTCTGTCTGTCTATGTCTCTCTCTCTCTTTAATCTCTATCTCACTCTCTCCCTCCCTGCCCAAAATCCTCCGCCAGATTCGAAACTCCCGCCGCGCCCCGCGAGTGAGTGAGAGAGAACGTAGCGGAGCATCTCAGCGCCGACGATAACAAAACCTCCCCGCCGCTCTCCTGGCGAAGGGCCTCTATCGACGACCCAGAGAGGAATTTTCTCGAGCTCGGCAACAACGACCAGCAACAGAGCCCTTCCGCGTCGCATGCGAGTTACTAACGCCTCGGGACTGTCTCCGGAGAGTCATACCTACCGCACTGGAGGCATCCCATATGCCGGCCGCGTCCTCTCTGAATGAAAAAAACGAAGTCACACACACACTTCCCCGATAATCCTCTCTCTTCAACGTCACGTCATGATGTCAGGCCGCGTCACAGCCACTCCCCACGCCCTCCCCTTCCCCAGCCGCCCAGCATCCCATCCCGCACTATTCACTCCTCCAGAAGGGCGGGGGCGTTCCAGCATCCCTTCCGCGTAGCACTACCGCCGCGCGCGTGGTCTGGCCGCGTCTCCCCTCGCCCTCGACGCGAGTGAGGGGACGCTAAGAGGGCCCACTGAGGGGACGCACCAGCCCGGGGCGCCTCGTCCCCTTTCTCTCTCCCTCGCCGCCTCCACACTGAGCCGCCGCGCAACACACACTGGACGGACGGATCCCTGGCCCCTCCTCACAACACTCGACGCTCGCACGCACACACGCACACACACGAACGTACGTACACGCGCGCCCGCACACATGTAGTAGGCAAAAAATGATGGGATGGCGAGATAAGCGGTGAGTCAGGGAAACAACGCAGACGACGACTTGCACCAAGACGCCACAACAGAAAGACACAACAGCACATGTTGAAAGAAAAGACCTCTGTGCATTTTGTGCACTCGTTAAGTGAAATGTACACCAAGTCTCTTTCTCATTAATCGTGAGAAAACAAGAAACAAATTATCAACATTAATATAAATAAAACCAGAAACACTATTAATACTGCTACAACTACGACTACTAATACTTTAACTATTACTACTATTACTACTACTACTACTATCAAAAATAAGGATATCAATATTTTGCTTACAATAATAACAGTGATAATGACAATAATAGCAAAGTGCAGTAGGTTCATGCAAAACGTGACCAGCAGTCATTAAAACCGTGATTATGACATTGAGTTGGGGACAGAACAAGAGAAAAAGAAGACGAAGATAAAGGCACTGCAAGACAGAGAGGGGAGAGGAGGCAAAGAAAATAGAGTAAATAAAAGAGGGAGGGAGGGAGGGAGGGAGGGAAGGAGGAAGGAGGGAAGGAGGGAAGGAGGAGAGGAGGAGAGGGAGAGGGGAGAGGAGAGGGAGAGGGAGAGGGGAGAGAGAGGAGAGAGAGGAGAGAGAGAGAGAGAGAGAGAGAGAGAGAGAGAGAGAGAGAGAGAGAGAGAGAGAGAGAGAGAGAGAGAGAGAGAGAGAGAGAGAGAGAGAGAGAGAGACCCAACCCTTTCCTTCCTCCCCCCCCCTCTCACCTCCCACTCCCTCTACCCCTCCCTCTATTTACTCCCATTTCCTCCTCCTCTTCATTCTCCTGCCGCCCCACCCACCCCCTCCCCGCACCCTCTCTCGCAGATGTCAAGGGCGAGATTTAAAGACCAGGCTGGAGGGTGGGAGGTAGGGAGAGGGGGATTCTCAACCCGCCCCCTCTTACCACTTACCCCTGCTACTCCTTTCTCTTTACACCCCCTCCCTCCTCCCCCCCCACTACCCCCGCAGACGATGCAAACCAGCTGAACCAACAACATCGGGCACTTTGCATCACCAGGCACTCAGCAACAACGGGCACTTTGCAACAAGGGACGCTGCAAGACGGGAGGAATTTCCACCCGGGCCATCGGAGGGAGTCCGAACAAGAAGACAGACAAAAGAAAGAAAGAAAAAAAAAGATAGAAGAGAAGAGCAAGCAAGAGAGATGGAGAAAAAAGTAAAATATAGAAAGAAAAAAAAGAAGAAAAAAAAAGAAAGAAAGAAAGAAATATATATAGAAAAAAAAAAAAAAGGAAAAAGAAAAGAAAAAAAAATAGAAGCAAAGAAAGAAAAACAGAAAAAAAATCAAAGAAGGAAAGCAGAGAAAAAAAAAAACGAAAAAAAAAAAACTTCAACTTCACAACCAACTTCAAGAACAGCCACTCGATTGTCCCTCCGCCAACGCCATCAACCCGCGAAATGACCTTTTTAGCGGGCGAAGTCGTCACCGCGAGCGCAGCCAATCCCGAAAGTCGACATCAGCAGTGACATCAGAGACGCGAGGATCTGATGTCAGGCGCCGACACAGACCATGAGCGATTCGGGTTTGATCGATCAGCAGAAAGATATTTACACATGTACACGAGGAACGATAGATGGATAAATGTACACACGTAAACAAGGATGCGTGTATACAGTACGCATATACGTAAATATGCTTGTACGTCACGCACACACATTCCAATGTATGAAAATAGAATTACACATATACAGATCTAGTATCAGATAAAAATGCACGGACTCACACACAAAGAAACATTCTGTACATACACAGAAAGACACACACAAAACACACACGCACGCACACACATATACACATACACATACACAAACACAAGCACACACACAAATACACATACACATACACAACACACACACACACACACACACACACACACACACACACACACACACACACACACACACACACACACACACACACGCACACGCACACGCACACGCACACGCACACGCACACACACATAGACAAAAAAGACTTACCTGTTGATTCCCAGGAAAAAGTTACGTAAAGTAAGCCACTTCACCCCAAAGCGACTTAAGACATAATGGGCAAATTGCAAGTAAAAAGTGGTCTCAATTGGGTCTAAATAGTGCCTCAGAAACCGCGTCGTCTCCGCAAAGCCGTGCGAAGATTTTGCAGAGCGTGGGAAAGAGAATTTTCTCGCATGGGGAAATTTTATGATCATGAACCCATTAGGCGAAAGGACGCATCCAGTGCCCAAGTTATATTCTAAATACCGACATTAAACGAAAAAAATATAAAAAAATAAGTAGAAGTGGATGTAAATAACAAAACACCGAAAGAAAAATGAATCAAAATTCCAAACGAAATCAAACGTTCCAATAAAAAACGACGCCAATGAAACAAAGGAACGGGAAAACGTCCTTACAAAGAAGCCCACCCGCCTTTGTTGTGAAAGAAAAAATACAACCAAACAAGAAAAACAATAAAACAAAAAAAACAAACGCAAACACATCCACCCATACACAAAACCAAACCATAAACTCCCCCCCCCCCAAAAAAAAAAAAAAAACGAAAGAACAAAAACAAACAAACAAACAAACCATTCCCACCAGCGAGTGACTCAGTGGGCCAAGACGTTCGCCTGTCTTTGTTTGTCTCGAAGGAACAGCGAATGACCCAAGACCCTCAAGCCGGGAGCACTTCGCGGTAACAAAGGCACGGGTGACGAGCTCTATGAAGGGGACGGGGGAGGTAGAGACGGGGGAGGGGAAGGAGGTAGAGAGGGGGAGGAAGAGAGAGGTAAGGGGAAGGGAGGTAGAGAGAGTGAGAGAGAGGTAAGGGGGAAGGGTAGGTAGAGAGGGGTAAAGGGGAAGGGAGGTAGAAAGAGGGAGAGAGGGTAAGGAGGAATAGGAGGTACAGGGAGAGACAGGTACGGGGGATTGGGGAGGTAGAGAAAAGGAGAGAATGGGTTAGGGAGAAGGGGGTGGGAGAGGATAAGGGGTAATGAAAGAGCGAAGGGCAAGGGGGGGCGAGGCAGAGGAGTGCGGATGGGAAAGAGGAAAGGGGACAGAGGAGAGGAAAGGAGAGAAGTGAAAGGAGATACGCAAAGAGAATGAATGTTAGGAGAGTAGAGAATGCGAGGGAGAAGAGAACGGGAAATGAGGATGGCATGAGAGGGGACCGGGAGGCGACGGATGGGCAGCTGGGATATGAGACCAGGAGTGGCAGAGAGGAGGCGCGGGGGGGGGGTAGAGAGAGGCAGAGAGCAAGAAAGGGTAACGAGGGGGGGGTTGGGAGGGTGAAGTGAGTCACCCTCGCGACAACGGGGTGAGTACGGGCCACGCGCACATACGATAAGGCAGTCTACGGAGCCACAAAAGGGTAGGACGGGAAAGGAGGGAAGAAGGGAGCGACAAGAAAGGAGAGGAGGAAGGAGGGAGAAAAAAAAGGGAAGGAAGAAGAGGTTGCAAGAAGAGAGGGGAAAGTAGGAGAGAAGGAAAATGGAAGGAAGAGGAGGCTGTAAAGAAGAGAGAGAGTAAAAGGAAAAGAGGAGGTTGCAAAGAGAAGAGGGAGAGTAAAAGAACCTGAAAAAGGAGGTAGCAGAGACAGGGAAAGGGAACAAGGGAAGGAAACAAACGAGAATAAGCAGAAAGGGATAATAGGGGACAATGAAAGGGAATAAGAGAGGACACAAAGAAAAGAGTGAATAAGAGGAGAGGACACAAAGAAAAGACTGTGCACAGTAGGAAACGAAGAGGGTAGGAGGGAAGGAAGGATATTGATAAAATGGGTGTCCATCGCAGAAAAGAAGGATAAGGACCGGGGTTAAGGCCAAGAGAGACAGGGCATGAGGAAAGGTCACACGGGATAAGATAAGAACATTTTTCTCTTTCTTCTCGCGAGACAAAGAACATGTGAAGTGAGAACAAAGTACACGAGCGAAGAACAAAGCACAAAGCACAAGAGCCTCCCAAAACAGGAAAAAAACAAAACGAAATACCAACCACGAGGGGAAAAAAAACAAAGAAAAGGGGGGGGGAGACCAAACAAGCCCAATAGTAAACAAAAAGGTTAAGGTAATTAACACGTTCCCTGGTCGTTAATTAAGCATCGTCACGTTTCACCTGCTACCGACACGCGCGCGCATGATCGCCCATAAGTACGCCTTAACTCAAGTCTCGTCAGGCCTATGGAGACGGACAAAGAAAAGTGGGTGTCAATTAATGTTTTTTTCGTGTTTTCGCTTATGTCTTTCCTTTCTTTTCGTGTTCTCCCTTTTAAGTTTTTTTCTTTTGGTATTCTAACTTTTTTCACCTAATATTTTCAAGTCTTATACCTGGTGGGTTTACATGTTGAATGTGCGTGCTTACACAAGCAGGCTGCACGTGTTGCAAGTGGATGAATTACGTGAGTTTGCAACGGCAGCGTTCAAAACATGGCGAAATGGTCACGAACCATTCTTCTTCTCCAACGAGGCCAAGAACAGCACCCGCCACACCCAATCAAGCAGGAGAAACAGACATCCAATTCCCTTCAAATAAACAAAGCAAACAAACCTCGATCTCCGTCCACGCCTCAGGACAAACCCACACCCAAACAAACACCCTCTCTACAACACATCCAAAACCCCCTATTCTCACCCAAACCCCTAAACAGAGAAAAGAACACCCTAGAACCCGAAGAACAAGAACAGCCGACAGTGTTCTCGCAGTTCCCGGTTCTCGTGTGACCAGCAGGATGCCGCCGGACCACCAACAACCTGCTTCCGGCGAGCGACACTCACCCGCGCGTCGCCTCCACTGGCCGGGGGCTCGGCGGGGCGGCCTAGCAACCATGCTTAATTGGCTTTCACCTCCACTAATATCAGGCATGTTTCTGCAGTGGATATGCTGCTAGGCTCT